TAAAAGGAGCGTAAGCATTTCCTACATACAAGATAATATTAAGAAACTAGTATATTTACTTCAAACATTTATTGAACCCTTACTTTGTGCCAGCAATTGCACCAGGTACTAGCAAAGTAAATAAAACACCTTTGCCATCTTTAAGGAGCCGGGAAATGAGATGGCAGGTAAATAGGCCATGTAGTACATGCGGCCTGCATGAGTGTGTGGGACCACAGGGACAGGCACTTAGTCAGTTGAGGAGGAGACATTCCGAGTGGAAGTAGGAGGGGAAAAAGGGTTTCCGAGGAAAGCCATTTGGGACACACTGAGTTTAAGGTCTGAGGAGCTTGGAGGTGGAGGTGGCAGCGGACAGTCGTCTGGTCTGAAGCTTGGGGAGTGGTGAGGCCTGCAGCGGAGATTCAGGAGTTGTTAGCGTGTAGGTGTTTGTTCACAGTCCTCGGAGAGGACGGACTTACAGAATAAATTAGCATTCCTGTGGACACTGCTGTCTCTAGCTTACAGGGGAGGTAGAGAGGAGATGGAAGAACACAGGTTTCTGAGTGAGACAGGTGTAAGTTCAGACTCCAGAATCTACTGTTTATTGGCTGTGCAAGGCCCCATGCTAGGTAGGGTAGATGTTCTCGTTAAACCTCCTATTTACTTCATTGGGGGATATTACTCTTTCTGTTAGCTATGTTATTTTAATTGTTAATTAGCCCCTCTGAGCATGTTTCCTCTTTTGTAAACAGAGCTAGTAATTACACAGAGGGTCGAGAGGATTTAATGAAGGCACGTACAGAAATCAGAGCGCAGTGCATAGGAAGCACCTAACACGTGCTGGTGCCCTCTCCTTGGAGTTCTAAAGTACGTTTAGACTTTTCCCCTTCTTGTCTCGTGCTGATCGTAGGGTTGACGTTTAACTGGGGAGCGTTGCTTGGATGGTCTGCTGTCAAGGGTTCCTGCGATCCCTCTGTCTGCCTGCCGCTTTATTTCTCTGGAGTGATGTGGACACTAATGTATGATACTATTTATGCCCATCAGGTAAAGAAATGATACCGTTTTGCTGTTAACTTTGGTTTAGTTGTTTCGTTTTGTTCTGAGACAGGGTCTCATGGTCTGTGAATTAAACCTAGTTATTTCTTTCTGTTTCAGGACAAGAGAGATGACGCTCTGATTGGTCTGAAGTCCACGGCGCTGCTGCTCGGTGACAACACCAAGCAGTGGCTCAGCGGCTTCGGCGTCGCCATGCTGGGGGCTCTGGGCCTGGTGGGAGTGAACAGCAGCCAGGCCGCCCCCTACTACGCTGCCCTGCTCGCCATGGGAGCCCATCTGGCTCACCAGGTTTGACTTTTTTCTTTTTGTCCCTCATGTTTCCTTCGCCTAAATTACTTTTTCTTTTTTTTTAAATGCCCTCTGTGTTTACCATGCCAGAAACTTCCTAAAACAGCTGCTTCGCTTCTACTACTTCAAACCACCCCCTTCGCTGCTCCAGCTTGTCATATGAAAAAGTTAGCTGTGTTATTTTAGAGAAATAATACTAAGGATTTTCCCCTTCCATTTTCTCTCTGATTCGTGTCTGGAAAAATGTCTGAAATGTGTGTGTTGAGTTGGATTATTCTAAAAACAAACTGGTAAAACTTTTATCTTAATATCTGTATCTGGGTTTCTACTGCTGGTTAGCAAACTAATCATTCATAAGCTTGGGCTCCACTGGCATAGAGACCAAGGTCAGATAAGACATGAAATGCTAAACGTGTCCCCCTTCTGCCCACACAGCAGGAAACTGTCATTTCAGGATATTCACCCAGCACCACGTCACCTGCCCCCCTCAAGCTTACATTGAGAATCTACATTATTGACTTGTAAAATGAGTCAGCTAAATCTACTTTTAATCAAATCAGTTGCTAGTAAATGAACTGTATTTTTGTATCAATGTTACTGTTATTTTCATTAACCAGAATCAAAAAGACGTTAGGGAACCTGTATTTAGATGATTTGTCTTATACAGATTATTACAAATTACTTACCAGCATAGGCAACACTGTGTGACATAGTTTGAAGGAAATTAAAATCTGATGTCAAGGGTCCGGCCCTGTGGCTCATACCTGTAATCCCAGCACTTTGGGAGGCCAAGGTGGGAGGATTGCTGGAGCCCAGGAGTCCAAGACCAGCCTGGGCAATGAGTGAGACCCCATCTCTACAAAAAATTAAAAAATTAGCCAGGCATGGTGGTGCACGCCATAGTCCCAGCTACTCGGGAGGCTGAGGCAGAAGGGTCCCTTGAGCCCAGGAGTTTGAGGCTGCAGTGAGCTCTCCTTGTGCCACTGCACCCCACCCTGGGTGACAGAGCAAGACCCCGTCTCTAAAAAAAAGAAGGAAAAAAATGATGTCTGTAAAGTAAACTCACATGCTGTATCCCCTTCATTGTTTTCCTCACTGTGAGAAACTAAAAGATGAGAATTGGTGATTCTCCAGGATATCACCACCTTCCTCCTCAGAATTTCTCCGAATCCCCTTCTGGTTGGAACTCAGCTCCGTGAGGGTTGTCGTCCTCAATCGATTGTCTGGTCTGGATAATGGATATAGAGTAGTATTTAAGCTTCTGAATATTAGCAGAGGAAGGCAAGAACCGTGAGGATAATCACACATACAAGAAATATTTGGAAACCACTTTAAATTACATTTCTGGTCCTGTGTTTAGTTCTTGACACAGTGTCCAAAGATGAACGTAGCCCTCTAGTATTTGAAGGGAAGGGAAATCAGGGTGATTTTAAGTCTGCAGTTGACATAATAAAGAATAGTTAGTTCCGTAAGCCTAGGAAAGAGTCGGTAGGAACATGAGACTTGGTTGACATACTTGCAGGGCTGCCGTGGGGAGAAAGGAGCGTGTTTGTTCTAGGTTGCCAGCGGCAGATCTAGGTCTCCAGGTTGCCAGCTGTATGTGTGCTGGGAGGGAGATTAGAAGTGTGTTTCTGGGCATCCTCAGAAAGTGGGAGGGGACACCAGAGGCATTCAGTGGGTGAGGTACAGGGAATGTCTGTCGGCACACCGGACAGCCCCGCACGATGGAGAGCCGTCCTGCCCGGTGCGATCTGTTCTTCGTTAAGAAACTTCGCTCCAGAGAATAAGCGTGGAACTGGAAGGCAGAAGTTACAGGGAGCAGATTTTTAGATAAGGAAGTGTAAGGAAGAGCTGTCTACAGAGAACTAAAAATGGGACGGGTCGCCTCCCACAGCATCCACGAAACCCTCAGCTGGAAGTCTTTCGGGCACCTCTCGGCAGATAGGGTGGATTTTTCTACGTTGGGAACAGTTTGGGGGCTGATAAGGGCTTCCTGTTGTTTAAAATTCTATGACAAAACGCTGTTTTCTCCTCGGTGTGGACGTGCGTGTTTGCGTGCTTTGAGTCCAGGCGAGGTACTAACGCCGCGTCGTGTTCCTCTCTCACAGGTTTACACTCTCGACATCCACAGACCCGAGGACTGTTGGGAGAAATTTACCTCCAACCGAACAATAGGACTAATGCTGTTTTTAGGGATTGTGCTCGGGAATTTGTGGAAAGAAAAGAAGACGGACAACACAAAGAAAAGCACAGAGAGTAGTATAGAAAATTAGTGAGTGAAACTTATCTAGGAATCAATAAAACAGATTTTTACAAAGAACCCAAAGAAGAAGATTTAGAGCATTTTTGCCTGGATTTTAACTCAGCTGTTTGCTAGCAGAACTCTTCCCCTGTCACAGAGACCAGAGACTCTTCGGGACTTGAGATGACCTTGAATGTTTAAGTTGACACATTCTTCAGTCCATGACAATCCCCATGTGAAGTATGGCAATTGTATGAGTTTGGCACTTTATTTTATTTTATTTTTTTTGGAGACAGAGTCTCACTCTGTTGCCCGGGCTAGAGTGCCGTGGCGTCAGCCTAGCTCACAGCAACCTCACACTCCTGGGCTCAAGCGATCCTCCTGCCTCAGCCTCCCGAGTAGCTGGGACTACAGGCATGCGCCACCATGCCCGGCTAATTTTATATATATATTTTTAGTTGTCCAGCCAATTTCTTTCTATTTTTTAGTAGAGACGGGGTCTCGCTCTTGCTCAGGCTGGTCTCGAACTCCTGACCTTGAGTGATCCACCTGCCTCGGCCTCCCAGAGTGCCAGGATTACAGGCGTGAGCCACCGCGCCTGGCCCCTAGGTGTTTTCTTTAATACATTATGCTAAGTAAGCAAAGGGAAGCACCTCTACTGCATGAATCTATGTATGCGAAGTTCTAGAATTGGCAAAACTAACCTATAGTGACAGAAATCGGATCAGCACTGCCTGGGGTAGGCTGGGGGGGGACTGACTTCAGTGGGGAACGGAGGAACTTCTGAGGTTGTTGACAGTGCTCTGTATCTTCACAGGTCTATACAAAGCTCATCAAACTGTACACTTATGTGTATTTGATCGTACATAAATTCCATCTTGATAAATTTGATTTTAAGCCCTTTTTATTGCCTTTGAGATTTTTCACAAGTATCCCATCCTTCTAAGGATTGAGCTTCCTAACAATTGTCTTTCA